CAGCCAAACCCCTGCTTCATGCTGTGTACAAAGGTGGCCTCCCAGAGGGCTAAAGATCACTGTGTGAAAGACAAATAAATCCGTAATGTGAAGAGAAGAAAATGCCAAGATACTGCATTGACCTTGGGGTGAGGAAGGACTTTGTAAGACTCCAAAAGCACAAGCCATAGGAACAAAAGTTTGCTGAATCTGACTAAACAGATCTCAGACTTTCTGTTCAATGAAGGACACCCCTGATATGGCGCTAACATCTATAATGTGAAGGAACTCTTGCAAAGTGACAGCATGGGCAGGGAATGTGGACAGTAAGAGAGTGAAGCCCCAACAGCTGAGAAGCATATGGAGGAGTGTTCAAGCTCAAGAACAATCAGAGAGACCAAGTGCTATAAGACGGCATCCTATACCCATCACACTGGAAAAAATTAGGAAAGGTGAGGGAAGCACAAGGGAAAGAGACGTTGCAAGAGTCCCTTCACATTCCAGATGTTAGAGCCATATCAGGGGTGTCCTTCATTGAACAGAAACTGCAAGCAGGTCAGGCTGCTAGGGACTGAGACCACGCTGCAGATGGCAAAGTACAGCAGCACCCAAACACCCTGGGCCCTAGCGACCCCCTCCTGGGAACAGGGGACACTCCAGGTGACACTGAGTGGAGTGAACAAAGCCAGAGGGCCCAGTGTGCCTGGTGTGTGAAAGTGAAAGTGCAGTGTGGGGGGAGCCCTCTCTCCAGAACCTGCATCAGTCATCACCTGGGGCCCCGGGGCACACTAAAACTACGGGGACATTCTGGAGGTGCAAATACTATGGAGAGAGTAAAAAGGTCAGTGGTTGCCAGAGACTGGAAAGGGTTTTTAGGGCAGTAGATTACTCTGTATAGCACTGTGATGGTCAATATGTGTCATGTTTGTCCAAACCCACAGACTGTCCAACAACTGGTGTGAGCCCCCATGTGAATGGGGACTTATCCCTCTCTGCTCCTGGTGGGCTGACTCCAGAGACCCTTTGTCACCCAACACAAAGAGCTGTACTGCAGCCCCAAGTGGAGACTGGAGTCCCTCAGGGTCAGAGCTGGCACCTCCAGGAGGGCCCCTGCCCACGGCCTGAGAAGTACTCTGGGGCAACTGAAGACTACAGTAACAGATAAATACTGAAATCTTAAGAAATGTGTGTCACTGAATGGCTTTCTCTTGAACCAGCCCCCGCCCCCCCAGGCATCTTGGAAAAAGAAAACAGAAACAGTGTGGCCATCTCCCCTACATCTGCAAGGGGCAGCTCTGACTGCTGACTCCTCCTCCCTCCCAGGTCCCATCCCATGGGTTATCCCTCCACATTCTGCTCTCTAACCACAGGATGGCTGCCCTCCCCTGCCTCTGTGGGGCCGCTGGGCATCCGGGCAAGGTCTGGCCCTTCTCAGAATGCCCTTGAGTCTGGGGATCTGCTGGCTTTGTGAACAGTACATTCTTAGGAAATGCTACATATCTTCCCCCTCTTTAGCCAGGGTCGGTATCAGAGCAAATGTCCCACCCACATGTCATCCCACAAACACGCTAGGATGCAGGGAAAACAACTCCTTCACAGAATGGTGGTGTCTCGCCAGAACAAATGTGGCCCATTTCACTGCACTTAGGCCCCACCAGGCTCTGGTGGAAGATGCCTCTAGAGTTACTACATGGCTCTTCAGGTCAACTGGCCAGAGATGCTGGCAACCACAGCACGCAGGTCAGCATCTGACACCTGCTCCGAGTCCAGCCCTGACTCCTTCCTCCTGCTCAGGTGGAATCATCCCGTCCACACTCCTTGGACACGTCTATGTGGATGACAAGCCACCTTCCAGCTTTAGTTGCCACAGCCATCCACACTGCCCCTCCTACCCCAGGACCACTGCCCAGGTCAAGTACTCACTTGGACAAGCCCCTGCCTCCACCACAGTCTTTCCAACTAACGTTTGTTTTTTTTTTGAGTTGGAATCTCACTCTCTCACCCAGGCTGGAGTGCAGTGGCATGCTCATGGCACCGCAGCCTTGACCTGCTGGGCTCAGGCGATCCTCCTGCCTCAGCCTTCCAAGTAGCTGGAACTACTTGACATGTACCACCATACCTGGCTAATTTTTGGATTTACTGTAGAGATGAGGCCTTGCCAAGTTGCCCAGGCTGGTCTCGGACCCATAGGCTCAGGCAATCCTTTCACCTCGACCTCCCAAAGTGCTGGGATTATAGGCGCAAGTCACTGTGCCTGGCCTCTCAACAAACTTTTTACATCACTTCCCTTGAGTCCTCCAGTGGCTCCAGCACTTGGGAATTTCTGCAGCAGCGGAATCCTTTTATCAGAGACAACCTTAAGATCACCTTGAGCCAAACATGGCAAGTGAAAGCTAGGCTGCTGTGGCTGAAGGGGCAAAGGAGAATGGAGAACCACAGCCAGCGAGGCCCATTCACACCTGAGGCCCATTCACACCCACGTGGCTGACAGAGCTGCAGGTGACAATATGTGGCCTCAGGCTGGCCCCACAGTAGGGCCTCTGAGGACCAGGATGCCTGGATGTTGTTGTCCCTAACATCAAGGTAGTGGAAGACACATTTAACATGCCCCTCTTGGCCTGGCACAAGCGCTGACTTGGAGTGACATGCTGGTCAAAATGCAGGACCATGCCCAGCCTTGAGTTAGAACTAGGGCTCTCAGGTCCTACTTGAGGGAGCCCTGCTTGGCTGAACTCTAAGAGGAAGACCTGTTGCCTTTTTGAAAAATAAGCCCAAAAAGGAGAGAAGTCCAAGACATCCCAAGAGTCCAAGGTATTTTCTGGGGAAATCTGCAATGAAGCCTTTACTCATATGAGGTGGATGTGGTCTTGGGAGTGTTTCAGAAGGTACCATCACCCAGAAAAACCCCCAAGGAAGAGTAAGCAGTGCACCTGGAGTGAACCCAAGTGTGTTGTCTGATGAGGATGCCAACCACACCAACATTTCCAAAAAAGCTAGTGGAAGCTTTGAAAGCTCAACTGGAGAGTTCCAGAGAGGTTCTGAGTAGAAAATTCCATACCAGGCTAGGTGTGGTGACTATAGGCTCACACCTGTAACCACAGCACTTTAAGAGACCAAGGCGAGGGGATTGCTTGAGACCAAGAGTTCGAGACCAGCCTGGGCAACATAGTGAGACATTATCTCTACAGAAAAAAAAAAAATTAGCCAGGCACGGTGGCACATATCTGTAGTCCCAGCTACTCGGGAGGCTGAGGCGAAAGGGTCGCCTGAGTCCAGGAGGTCAAACCTGTGGTGAGACATGACTGTGCTACTATACTCCAGCCTGGGTGACAGACTAAGACCCTGTCAGACAGACCACACACACACACACACACACACACACACACACACACACACACACACACACACACACACAAAAGACAGGTGGCCCACACCTCTCCCCCTATCAGGAGCTCCTACATAGATGCAACTGCCAAGGTGGGCTACCAGTAAGCCCCTGCTGACCACAAAATAAAAGAGATGGCCCTCAGGGTCTGACAGCTTTTAGAGGACAGATGGAAGAAGGCAAGGAGGCGGATGCTGACATCACATGGATGTCCCATGGAGGTGGGGTAGGGTTCTTTTTTTTGTTTTGTTTTTTTGAGTTGGAGTCTCACTCTGTCGCCCAGACTGGAGTGCAGTGGC